GTGCCACTAAGGAGGAAAAAGTCCTTCTTGACCTAATTAGCACCCAGGGCTCTCCCTTCATGCTAACTCAATCAAAACAAGCCTCATGCAAATATGACAGGATTCCAGGCAGACAAGATTGCAAAGCCTTGACTAAAACACTGAAGTGCTCCCTCCCTTCTTTTGCAGGGCCTTGATCTTGTGGGCATCATAGTTCTCCTACCTCTGCATGGTCAACTCCTTCCAAAATAGAAGCAAAACAGAAGAAGGCAGAACAGCCTTAGTTGCCCATTAGCACCTCCTTGTGGTAACAGCTTTCAATTACACTTTGGAAAGGCAATCACCTCCATAAAACTAGCCAAGGTGAAATACTCTTGATCGTTTTCAAAGAAGTAGCTTAATCACACTATACTTTAAAGTTGGGATCCTCAAACTAAGGCCTGGGGGCTGGATATGGCCCTCCAAGGTCATTTACCCGGCCCTCACTTAGGGTCAACCTAAGTCTGAAACTACTTGAAAGCACACAACAACAATCCTATCTCATCAGCCAAAAAGCAAGCCCACATTTCCCATTGAAATGCTAATACATTTATATTTGTTAAAATTGTTCTTCATTTTAATAATTGTATTGTTTTTAAGTGTTTTTGCACTACAAATAAGATACGTGCAGTGTGCTTAGGAATTCATTCATTTTTTTCAAATTATAATCTGGCCCTCCAACAGTTTGAGGGACTGTGTCCTGGCCCTCTGCTTAAAAAGTTTGAGGACCCCTGCTTTTAAGAGTAGGCATAAAGTTGGCTTCCCATTTTAAATCCTATGGCTGCCTCCTGTGGAATTCTGGGGTTTGTAGTTAAAGGTAAAGGTTTTACCTTGATTTTAAGTCTAGTGGTGTCCGATTCTGGGGGTGGTGCTCATCTCCATTTCTAAGCCGAAGAGCCAGCATTGTCCATAGACGTCTCCAAGGTAATGTGGACGGCATGGCTGCATGGAGTGCCATTACCTTCCCACCAGAGCAGTTCCTATTGATCTGCTCACATTTGCATGTTTTCAGAAGCTGATGCTAATGAGAGCTCACCCCGTCCCACAGATTCAAACTGCCAACCTTCCAGTCAGCAAGTTTTGCAGCTTAGCGGTTTAACCCGCTGTGGTACTGCAACCACAAATATCCTTACTACGAATAGTGGAGCCTGTGCTTCAGCAAACCTAGAGGGAACCAGATTAGGGAAAGTTGATTCCTAAGATTAAAGAGAGTGGCCACAATCCTGTTGGGCTTTCAGAGCTACAATAGTGTTGGTGATGGCAGGGATGGGGTGCGGGTAGAGAGGAGGTTGTCTCTGTAGGCAGTAACTGCCCAGCCAGTTCCCACAGGGGTAGGAACCAAGAAGCAGTTTTCTCTTTCATCCGCCCACCTACCCTTTGCTGCTGTGCGTGGAGTGGTAATGCCAGTCACCACGGGGCATTTTTCTGTCCACACAACCATGAATAATGTACTTTATTACTGGGTTAAAAAGAGACATGTAGATGTTTTCTAGGTTACCCACAAAAGAATTGTACCTTCCCACCGGAGCAGTACCTATTGATCTACTCACATTTGCATGTTTTCGAACTGCTAGGTTGGCAAAAGCTGGTGCTAACAGTGGGAACTCACCCCACTCTCCGGATTTGATCCACCAGCCTTTTGGTCAGCAAGTCTAGCAGTTCAGCGGTTTAACCCGCTGTGCCGCCGGGGGATTTGGTTTGTCATTAGTTAATAATTACTATTATTATATTTTTTAATATCCCGCTTTATCTCCTACAAAGGGAACTCAAAGCAGCTTAACATAAAAACATCAGCATGGCCATTTAAAATATACAAATATATGAACATTAAAACAGGATTAAATATAAATAGTATTATTTAAATCCCAGTTTAAAAAATTCAAAGTAAAAACCACAGCACCCCCTCAATTCATCTTTAAAATCCTGTCTAAATAAAAAAGGTTTTAGCCTGCCATTCTCCCACTCCTCCCACACAAAGGGGAAGGCTGTAGAAATGTCAGTGTTGCTCCAGGTCTTCTACTCTGTATTAGGTGGAGGCCAAAGATGCAAAGTGTGATAGCAAACACACAGCATTACTCTCTGGTTCCTGATCTCTCACCATTCCTTTCAAATGGTAGGAACATGAACTAGTACACAACCAAAAATGAGGCATGCTGGAAGCTTAAAACAAACATTTGGAGTGATGCTTGACCATTCAATTTCGAGGGGCAAGCCACTTGCCTTTAACTTGAGCTCTGCACTTTTGCTCCTTTTTGACACTTGCCTGACAACTGCTTTTGACAGCAGACATCTGAACAAGGGGATGAAGAGACAGCTGCCCTCAACCATCTCTTTATTTAAAGTGGAAATAAGAATGTCAACACAAACCAGTATAGAACAAAGTAAGATTTGAATAGAATGGACAGTCATCAACTCCCCCTCAGAGGAAAGGCAAGCGCAAAGGGAAAGAGCAGGTGCCTGGGCTGTGCCGTGCCCCTTAGTAGATGATTTACGCCGGGAGCTGGACAGGGGGAGTGTGTCCCTGTTGGTTCTGCTGGACTTCTCAGCAGCCTTTGATACCGTTGACCACAGTATCCTTCTGGGACGCCTCGCAGAAATGGGACTTGGAGGTACTGTTTTGCAGTGGCTCCAGTCCTTCCTGGAGGGTCAGTCTCAGGTGGTGTTACTGGGTGACACCTGTTCGACTCCACAACCGTCGTCTTGTTGAGTCCCTCAGGGTTCAGTACTGTCCCCGATGTTATTTAACATCTACATGAAGCCGCTGGGGGAGATCATCCGGAGTTTCGGAGTAAGGTGTTATCTGTACGCAGATGACGTCCAAATCTGTCACTCCTTCCCACCTGTCACTAAGGAGGCTGTCCAGACCTTGAACCGGTGCTTGGCCACTGTATCGGACTGGATGAGGGCTAGCAAATTGAAATTGAATCCAGACAAGACAGAGGTCCTCCTGGTCAGTCGAAAGGCCGAACAGGGCATAAGGTTACAGCCTGTGTTGGATAGGGTCCCACTCCCCCTGAAGACGCAGGTTCGCAGCTTGGGAGTGATCCTGGATTCATCGCTGAGCCTGGAACCCCAGGTTTCAGCAGTGGCTGGGAGAGCTTTTGCAGTTAAAATTTGTGCGCCAGCTGCGCCCGTACCTGATCTGGCCACGGTGGTCCATGCTCTGGTTACATCCCGAATAGATTACTGCAATGTGCTCTACATGGGGCTGCCTTTGAAGACGGTTCGGAAAGTTCAGCTAGTTCAACGGGGGGCAGCCAGATTACTAACTGGGGCGGCATACAGGAAGCATACCACCTCCCACTATGCCAGCTCCATTGGCTGACGGTCCATCTCCGAACCCAATTCAAAGTGCTAGTTTTGACCTATAAAGCTCTATACAGTTCAGGCCCAGCTTACTTGTCCAAACGCATCCACCCCTATACGTCCCACCTCGTAATCTAAGATCATCCGGGGAGGCCCTGCTCTTGCTCCCGTCAACAGCACAGATGCGCCTGGCGGGGACGAGTTAGGGCCTTCTTGGCTGTGGCCCCCCGCCTATGGAACACACTCCCAGTTGAGGTAAGATCCACTCCCTCCCTCCTGGCTTTTAGAAAAAAAATAAAATCATAGTTTTGGAACCAGGCCTTCGGGCAGAAGTAAATGTATGCAGCATTTCAGAAAGACAATGACTGGAACGGCGATTTGACGGACGACAGACTGTTTTATTGTTTTAATGATTCTTTTATTGCTCATGGATGTATTTTTTAATTTAATTTATGTCTAATTGTAGTGTATAATTGTAATTGTTTGTACTGGCATTGAAATTTTTCCATTACTTATGTGTAAACTGCTTTGAGTCCCCCTCGGGGTGAGAAAAGCGGTATACAAATACTGTAAATAAATAATAAATTCATTATGTTGGATGCTCTCATTATTCCATAGATATTTTAAAATCTGAAAACTATTTTCAGCACACAAGAGGTCATCATGAAAAAAAAGGGAAGTCACCACTTCACATATTGCAAGGCGTTAAGAAGTTACTATTGTTTCTAATCTCCTTTCCCCCTTGTACTGTACATTAAATAATTGCAAACAAACCAGCTACACAATGCTATTGGGTGGATTTTGAATTGGTTAAGTAACCGAACCCAAAGGAGGCTCACCAATGGTTCCTCTTCATCCTGGAGAGAAGTGACTAGAGGAGTGCAACAGGGTTTGGTCCTGGACCCAGTGCTGTCCAATATCTTTATTAATGACGTGGAGGAAGGTTTAAAGGGCATGCTTATCAAGTTTTCAGATGACACAGAATTAGGATGGATAGTTAATATTCCAGAGGACAGGATCAGAATTCAAAATGACTTTAGGAGTATAGTGTCTAGATCGAGGGAAGTCATGGTGCCTCTCTATTCTGCTTTGGTCAGACCTCACCTTGAGTAATACTGTGTCCAATTCTGGGATCCTCAATTTAAGAGAGATATTGACAAGCTGGACAGTATCCAGAGGTGGGCAACTAAAATGATCAAACGTCTGGAGACCATTAATCCCTGTAATGAGGGTCTTAAAGAGCTGGGCATGTTTAGCCTGCAAAAGAGAAGGTTGAGAGGAGACATGATGTCCATGTTTATATATGGGAAAGGATGTCAGAAGGAAGGGGGAGCAGGCTTGTTTTTTGCTGCCCTGGAATCTAGGGCTCGGAGCAATGGGTTCAAATGACAGGAAAGGAGATTCCATTAGGAACACTAGGAAGAACTTCCTGACGCTAAGAGCTATTCAGCAGTGAAACTCTCTGCCTCAGAGTGTGGTGGAAATTCCTTCTTTGAAGCTTTTAAATAGAAACTGGATAGGGGTACTTTGATTGTGCTTTTCTTGCATGGCAGAATGGGGGTTGGACTGGATGGTCCATGAGGTGTCTTCTAAGATTCTATATCAATCTCAACAGCTTTAAAAGCCCGATCCTTTAATGATACAACCACAAACAAAAAATCCAGTAGCATACAGAATGACTGTAAATGTATTTATTTAGTTGGTATTAGCAACTTCACATCATTCCAATAATCTCTTTACATCGGTTTGGGGGGTGGTCTTGGTGCAGCACCCTGGAGGAAAAAAGGAAACCATCCGTTAGAGAACATTCATGTGGTTTTATCAGTTCTCCCTGTAGCAAGCCATTTTGTCTTTAGTCAGTTTCCAGGGTGGATTCAACAGAACAGGAAAGTGCGCATAATCCTCACCTTCCAGATCAGGCACTTAATGAATGCTGATTTATAGTACTTGATAAGGTAAAGCTTTCCCCTGACATGAAGTCTAGTTGTGTCCGACTCTGGGGGGTGGTGCTCATTTCCATTTCAGAGCTAAAGAGCCAGTGTTGTCCATAGACGCCTCCAAAGTCATGTGGCTAGCACGACTGCATGGTGTGCCATTACCTTTCTGCAGAAGCAGTACCTATTGATCTACTCATGTTTGCATGTTTTCAAACGCTAGGTTGGCAAGAGTTGGGCTGGCAGCGGGAGCTCACCCCACTCTCCTGATTTGAACCGTCAACCTTTCAAGTCAGCAAGTTCAGCAGCTCAGTGGTTAAACCCACTGTGGCACCGGCAACCCATATTACTTGGTACCCCATCACATATACATGGAGGAATATTTTAGTATACTATTTCTTGTCTTTCTATCTCTGAACATGACAAGTGCTCATCTCATCTATTTACATGATTGCACGGTGCAATACAAAGAGGACCAGCAGGCATGAGAGGGCTAAACCTTGGATATCAAAAGTGTTCGTTTCAATTAAATGTAAGTGAGCCTCCATCTTTGGAGCCAGTCTACTTACTGCAGGCCTGAACCTGGGAGGAGGGGTGCGGTCCTTCCGAGCCTCACGGGAGCGGTTCCTCACCACCTTGCTGTGGATGGCACAGCTCACGCAATAGTGAAGCTTCACATAGAGCTTGGGCAACACATAGGCTGGGAAAAGAGGGACAAACAGCAGGGTCAGAACCACAGTCATTCCAGAAAGGCCTAAGTCAGCCAGGCACTTCCAGCAACTATGTCTCCCTGTGGGTGAAAAAATCTAGCAGGCTCACAAAATCTTCCCAAAGCAAAATGATTTGTAAGAAAACACTTTTAATTGTTCCCTGGAGTTTAAAACCATATACGGCCTTCAGGTTTATTCTGGCAAAACAACACATAGTGAACATCCAACATATTTCAGTTAGCAATCCATGACAGATGGATCTACTTTTTTCCACACAAAGTTTTTTTCTTTTCAGTTATGGTGGTTAAATAAAATGTTTTGACAAGATATCTAATCACACTATTCATTTACTTATTCTGACGAATTTTGCAAGCCATCTACAGCTTGGGACTTGCCTCCCATTTAGGTTTATTTATGTTTTTTGCTCTTAAATTTTCAGGGCCTGGGTGGGGGCAGGGAAACCTTGCAAAACTGTCCCCTGGAAGATATTGGAGAATTGTTCAAAAACAGAGCTGAGGTAAGAGTCAATAGGGCCTTGCCAGTCTAGCAGCTCCTCGGTGCAGTCCCACAACATCATCCTTTACTTTTGTATCTCATCACTTACAGAATGGTAAAATAAAACGTGTGTGGTGGCAGAAAGTACTTACAGTCAAAGACGCTTGCTTCGGAGATGTCTCTGACAGCAGCTGCCTCTACAATGTTTCGGATGACAAACTTCTTAATAGCCTTATCCTTGGGGACACAGCGGGCACAGTTGGTACAACGAATAGGCTGGACATGCCCACGGCCCTTCTTGGCGCGGCCGTTGTTCCTTCTCTTCTTCGTCTATTGAAACAGAAAAGAAAATATTAATGGGTGCCCATATCCTTCCCTGAGATCACATATGACTAATGTAAGCAAACTGTCGGGCAAACAAGAGAGGAATCTATGCTGAAGTAAGTAGCCTTGGTTATCTTCCATAGGATATGTATATAGCATTCATCCTTGTTGTTCTGTGCCTTCAATATATGGCAACCCCTTATCACTGGGTTTTCTTAGCAGGATTTGTTTAAAGGTGTTCCATCGCCTTCCTTTGAGGCCAAGTATCACTTGCACAATATCATGTAGTGGACTTCTGCACTAAGATGGTTGCTCAAGTTACCCAAATTCCAAAGTAATTCAAAACTCCATGTTCAATACATCTCTGGACTATAAAAAGGCTAGAATCACCATAATCCCTTACTTGTGAGCTTCTGGATAAGAGCACCAGTTGCTCACAACATCTATGAGGGCAACTAGTCTAATAGCATGTAAAAGGAGGCCTGATACAGTCATGATAGTTGGATGGGGCCTCAGTGCTGTGATCTGATATTAGACAGAAGTAATAAGGCCCAACTACTATTTCTTGAAATGACTGTTCAACTTCATGGCCCTTACTTAAGTTTGATCTAGCAAGGCTTTCCTATATCCCAGCTAATGAGAGAGGACTCAGAAGAAGCATGCTTCATTTTTGAGTTAAACAGCAGCTCCACTAAAGTTATTTTCTGCTTTCAACATGGGATTTTTTTCTTTAAATTTTTAAGAAAAGGCTGGACTAGATGAGACAATAGATGAGACAATAGGACAATGGCAGATGCATAGTACTATTTTATGTACTTATGCGACTCAACATTAGTTACAAATTTGAACTAAAGGCAATTCTGAGCCTTTGACAGAACAGCAACCTCAAAGTATCCAGCCAACCAATCCATCCATTAGATGGGCTTCTGCTGTATTTATTTTTTTATTTATTTCTGGTACTTTTACCCCGCCCTTCTCAACCCCTGGAGGGGGACTCAGGGCGGCTTACAAAAAAGGCAGAATTCGATGCCTATACAAAATTACACATAATATACAAAAATATACAAAAGAACAAATATACAAAAATGTAATTAAAAACGATTATCACAATTAAAACATCAACAACCGGTACATAAGACATTATATAAAACATCATATAAAAGTCATTCTTATAATCAGCGTTTCGTTTCCAGAGTTCCACATGTCCAATCCGTTAGTCATTTCCTAGCCATCAATGAAGTTCTTTCTTTATTTGCCCACTTGTCCAAATGCCTGGTCCCAGATCCATGTTTTTAGTTTTTTCCTGAAAGAAAGGAGCGAAGTTGCAGATCTGATTTCCCCGGGGAGTGAATTCCACAGGCGGGGGGCCACCACCGAGAAGGCCCTGCTCCTCGTCCCCGCCAATCTCACCTGTGATAGAGGCGGGGTCGAGAGCAGGACCTCCCCAGAAGATCTTAGGCTCCGGGGTGGGACGTAGAGGGAGATCCGTTCGGACAGATACACTGGGCCGGAACCGTATTTGTCACCTTGGAGGGGACTCACATATAAGGCACAATTCGATGCCACACAAACATACATCCAACAAAATAAAAATATACACTAAAACCACTAAAAACATCTCAAACATTAAAACCAATTATTAAAATCATGTAATCCAACATCATAGTCCGAGACCATTCCAGCTGTCATTGCACCATTCTGCACTGAGATTAATATCTGAAAGCTTGGTTCCATATCCATGTTTTTGGTTTTCTAAACACTGGGAGAGGGCTGAGCTGCACTCATTAGGGAGGAAGTACCACAAGTGAGGGGCCACCACTGAGAGGACCCCGTCTCTCATCCCCACCAATCTCACCTGTGAAGGAGGTGGGACCAAGAGCAGGGCCTCCCCACAAGATCTTAACCTCTGAGATGGTTCATAGGGGGAGAAACGTTTGGACAGGTTAGCTGGGCCGGAACTATTTAGGGCTTTGTAATCCAGAAATTCAACAACTGTTCTATTTCTTGCCTTTAAAGCCTTTACTAAGGCCTTGCATTCATTATCAATTTGACAACAGTTAAACAGGTATTTGGCTGCCTTGTTTCACTGAAGTGAGGCATGACCAACCCCCCCTCCCATTTCCCTGCACACACTCTCTCCAGATTGGCTCGGTCTCAGGTGTCCTCATGTATCCATGGGGGCACCTTCACTGTGGAATTATTTATTTATTTATTTGCGATATTTATAGCCCGCCTTTCTCAGCCATACAGCGACTCAAGGCGGGTTACAGATCGGCACAGCTCAGTCTCAGGCATTCATAAAAGTGCCATTAAAAACAATCAACATTACAATACAAAACATATATAAAAACTGTTAAAGCATATAATCATCGGTGTCATCCTGTTAAAAATGTTATCCAGTAACATCGTCTGGCCATTCCATGTTCATCATTCATAGTTCTGTGTTATCTATTCTGCTGCATTCTCAAAAGCTTGCTCAAAGAGCCAGGTCTTTACTTTTTTTTTGAAAGTCAGGAGGGAGGGGGCCAATCTAATATCTCTGGGGAGGGAGTTCCATAGCCAGGGGGCCACCACTGAGAAGGCCCTGCCCTTCGTCTCTGCCAATCGCACTTGCAAGGCAGGTGGGATCGAGAGCAGTATTTGACACCACTTTAACTACCCTGGTTCAATGCTATGGAATTCTGGGAGTTACAGTCTGGGGAGACACCAGCCCTCTTTGGCAGAGAAGGCTAAAGCCCTTGTAAAACTACAACTCCCAAGATCCCATAGCACTGAGCCATGGTAGTTAAAGCGGGGGGTCAAACTGCATTAACTCTACAGTAAATGTGTATTTTAAAAAACCACACAGAATGTATATCTCGTTAATCAAAGTAGCAATTACCAGAAGGGCCTACAAGCAAGTTGTTGCGAACACAAACAGGCACCACAACGGCGAACAACCCTTTTTATTATTTCATCTTGCAACTGAGCCCGAACGAGGCCTCGCGTTCTCAGACGTCACTTCCGCCCAGTCAGGAGGCCTAGAGAGAGCGCGAGGCGTGAAGCTTCCGTCTGCTGGTAGCCTCGCGCCTCAACAGAACGGGGGCCCAGCTACCGTATTCTAACGGGGGAAGGGGAGAGCGTACCATTTCCAAGGCGGGGGGGGGGGGGGGGCGGAGAAAAATGGCTCACTTGGAAGATTCGCAAGGAATCTGTTACGAGATGGTAGGCCATGGCTATTGTACACCCCCCCCCCTACCAAAACCCCAGCTTACACGGATACCCTCAAAGATGACCCCGGCTCGTGTTAATTATTCCTATCCCAAAGCCCCCCCCCCTTCCTTTTTGCCGGGCCTTCTGCTGTCCCCTAATAATCCAAGGCCTGCTCCAAGTGGCGCGTGCGCTACCCACCATTTCGACGCTGAGGAGGCGAAAGAGGGCCCGGCTTCCCCTCCGCCGCCCTTATATGCGCTCCCTCCGCCAGACGGAAGTGCTTCGCCCACACTTTCCTTCCACAGCGCGAAGGGAGAAAGAATCCCCGAGGGAAAGAAAGCGCCCTTCACGCTACATTGACCGAAAAGGGAATTTAATCTCACTTCCACCCCGGTAAGTTTTAACCCTCGCTATGTTTTTGGACGGGACTATTTTTCCTCCTCTCTGGAGCGGAAGGTTATTGTCAAGAAAGACGTGATTCTCCCACAATGCATCAGCGGCGGATGGGGCGGGCTTGACGGCTTCTCTTGGAGAGATGCATGCTGGGAGTGGTAGTTTTGCCCAGTTTTATTCTAAAACGAGCTGTACCCGCCACGCGTTGCTGTAACCAACCTTCCCTCCCTCTTTCCTTCATTCCTTTCCTTCCTTTTCCCTTCCTCCGCCCCCTCCCTTTTCCTTTCCCTTTTGCTTATTCTCCTTTCTTTCTTCTCTACCTATTTTTGGACTGCAACTCCCAGCAGTCATCCTGATCTATCTATCTGCCTATCTATCTCTATCTAATCTATCTATCTGGAGGACTGCTGGGAGTTGCAGTACAGGAATAGGAATTTGGAAATATGTAGGGATTGGGATGCTCTCAAAGAAATCCTAGCAGAAGAAAGCTTGCAGCTTGGAAGCAGTGCATTTTGATCATCCTCCTCTCCTAAAGAGCCTGGTCTAGGGGGTGCTGGGGGGTGTAGTCCAGAAGAAAGTGTAGATATGCTATTGTGTGTTTTGTTTGCCAGGGGGAGTCATTTTTGTGCATGTGCTGTAGCGTCTTTTTGCTTTTTTGGCTTTTTAAGTCTCTTCTGCTGTGTTTTTCAGTTTTTTTTATGAGTGGTGGTCACTTGTTGGCCTGATAGGTGTATAGTGTCCAAATTTGATGTCAGTTCGTCCAGTGGTTTTTGAGTTATGTTAATCCCACAAACAAACATTACATTTGTATTTATACAGATTGGGAAAAGCATACGGCAGGGTTGTATACTCTCACCCAACCTATTCAACTTGTATGCAGAACATATCATGCGATGTGCAGGGCTTGTCGAATGCAAGGCAGGGGTTAAAATTGCTGGATGAAACATTAACAACCTTACATATGCAGATGATACCACTTTGATGGCCGAAAGCAAGGAGGAGCTGAGGAACCTTATTACCAAAGTGCAAGAAGAAAGTACAAAAGCTGGGTTGCAGTTAAACGTAAAAAGAAAAAAACCAAGATTCTGGCAACCTACGGATGTGAGAGCTGGACCATAAGGAAGACTGAACGAAGGAAGATAGATGCTTTTAAACTGTGGTGCCAGCTGAACTGCTGACCTGAAGGGTGGTGGTTCAAATCCGCAAGACGGGGTGAGCTCCCATTTGTCAGCTCCATCTTCCCATACAAGGACATGAGAGAAGCCTCCCACAGGATGGTAACACATCCAGGCATCCCCTGGGCAACATCTTTGCAGACAGCCAATTTTCAAGTCACTTCTATCGGCTCCCTCCCTACTGGTGTTCAGGAGAAGAGTGAAGACCTGGCTCTTTGAACAGGCGTTCAATTAAGCAGTGCAATCAATTGACTGAGTTGGAACTGGAATAATGGACGAGGAGATCGGATTATGACTTTACTGATGAGACGTGATGGATTAGTTATTTGGATGTATTGATGTTATGTTGATTTACTGATGTATTGTTGTATTGTTTTAACTGCTTTAGTGACTGTTTAAATGTTAATGCTTATGCTATGCACCTTGTATATTGACCTGTTGTAAACCGCACTGAGTCGCCTACGGGCTGAGATAGTGCGGTATACAAATAAAGTAAATAAATAAATAATAAATACTTCTGACACAATTAAAAACACCCCTATTGCATGGCTGTTGAGAATGGGTTCTGGTGTAGGCACGATTCAAGAGTCTTTATATATCCATTAGCCTAGATGCACAGCTGTTTATCCCATTATTGGTTGCTTTGGATATTACGGTAAGTGTCTACAATAAGATTTTAAAGGGGCAGCACCACAGGATGACCCAGACCAAATTAGCATGACACCTCCCCCCTTATACTAGTATTTCATAGAAGATATTAACTCTGTGTTGCATGTACAAACTTGAACAACTTTGAGTTTCCTTCCTGCACAGTGATGTGATCTCCTGTCATCTTGATCGTTGGCCATGAAGTCTGGGCAGTACAGGGACTGTGGTCATTCTGAATCCAGGTTTGGGGGGGAAGCACCAAATCACTGGAATGCTCTACCAGAAGTGATTAGACCTGCCTCCACCCTCATGTCTTTTAGGAAAAATTTGAAGACTTTCCTGTTTGGAATAGCTTTTAACTGATTTGTGACAGAAGCCTGGGATTTGCATTTTATAATTATATTTTATCTCCTTGAGGAATTTTTAGAATGTTTTTGCTTATTTTATCATAGTTTTTATGTCTTACGAGGAAGATTATGTAACCTATTTGGGGCTAATTTTAATGGTCTATGTTCTATTGTATGTTTTGATGTTATTGTAAACCACCTTGAGTCCATTGGAGAAAGGTGATATAGACATCTCCCAAATAAATAAATAAATAAATAAATAAATGTGATGTATCACTAAAATTAGCAAGAACTGCAACCACTGTATTACAACACAACCAGGAGACTACAGGGGACCTTAAAAACTCAAAACTATGTTTAACCCAGTGTCATGCTTCAAATAATCATGGAAATCGTGTCTTAGATGTTGCCTTATTGTGGCATACTCACAATATTGTTTATTGGGAAATATTGGTATTTGGAAAATATTGTTTTTTGTACTCTGGTTCCCAGAATTCTCCAGCTACCAATTCTATTAGCTGCAGTTTAAGAACACAAGTCTTCCAGGTTCTGGATAAAATTCCACCTCTGAAAGCACAGGTAGAACTATCCAGTCATTTCTCACTATCTTATTTTCTATATAGATGTTCACACCTTTGTTCCATTTTAATTCACCAAGTGTTACTATTGAGAATTCACTGTGCCTTAATGTATGTATGTTCCTTCAAAGTGTGATTTAGGGTCTAATTTGAACGATTCCCTTTCTAGGCTGCCCCTGCGCATTTGTCCCTCACTCTGTCCTTGTTTACCACATAATTCCTTCCTTTGTTGGATACGTGTGCCTCAGGATGACCTGTGTTGTTGCTGTTCACTGTGGTTAGTATTATGTGATTTCATCTCTGCTAAAACTGCAGGTTTGGGGTCTGGAGTGCTAAGCTTCCAAAGCACCACATAAAACACTGAAGGCAAAATCAGAGGCTTTATTCTCAATGGCCAGAGAGGATGTCAGCAGAGACAGCTCTCCAAAAAAGTAGCATACAACTGCAAATGCAAGGGTTTGATAGAAAGGCAGACTAGTACAAAACAATTGGAAATTGCCATGCCGGTTCCTCCCTGGTCCTGGAGGGTGCCAGCTAGGATCCACAGCCCCGTTGGAGGAGGCATGAATCTGCTTCTGCCTCTGAGCCACTCAGACGAGGTGGGAAATTTCATAAACTGTCATTCATGGATTTGAAGTCTTGTATCTGTTTGTGAGTCTTTCCCAGAAACTGGGTGTGATGAAATACAGTTTGATGGGTACTGATGGCCCAACGCCAGCTACACAAAGGAGGTGTCATCTGATGAACAAAATGTGTTTAAGACACAGTTACATACAATGGAGGATTCACAGAGGGGGTCTAGATATGTGCTATAAATGAGGCAATGTGCCCAGGATGAAGTTTGGGATAAAATCAGATCAAGGTGGGAAACCTTTGTGTCTCTTCATGAAAAAAGGGAGCAGCCTCCATGCCTTATGCTCTTGTCCACTTTGGGAGATTGCTGTCTACTTGCTCTTTTTGCTTTGAGAAACTTTGGGTTAGCTAATTTTGTGTAGTTTTTTAATTCCTGGTTTGTTTGGCTTCATGAAGAGAGAGAGAGAGAGCAAAAGAGGGAGGGAGACTGGCATGAGTAAAGTGGGAAGAAACACAACCAGGTCTTCACCATCCTTCTGAAGGACAGGAGGGAGAGGGCCAATCTAATATTGCTGGGGAACAATAAGTGAGAAGGCCTTGTCTCTTGTGCCCACCAAATGTGCCTGTGATGGTGGCGGGACCAAGAGCAGGGTCTCCCCAGAAGATCTTAGTCTTCACAGTGGTCCATAAAGGTTCAAAATCTGCTTTGAGTTAAGAGCCCAGACACCAGAAGCACAAAACTCTTAACTCAAGGCATCACTATACTCTGTTACTCTATTTTCTGTACGACTCCATTCATGAACAACAGGTTTCAGGCTGTGTGTGAAGCCATAAGGGAAGCCATACAAGGGGGAAGGACCAGAACTGGAAACCAAGCGCTCCAAAGGCCCTTTGTCAACAATTGTTTGTCCTGACTTTAGCAGAAGTTAGGGAAGGAGGCATTTTTAAACTGTGATTAATCCATGTCATGCAACTGCTTCAGGAAACAGTGGGGCTCGGTTTGGTAAAGAGGCAATGGACATCAAAGCCTGCCAGGAGACTTTCCCTTGCCGAGTCCTCCTCGACTGCCCCCCTCCCCGCCCTAAAAATAAATCCCCCAAAGCAACAAGGCCGGAGTCCTTGCAAGAGTTAAACCGCCTGTTCCACCCGATCCTGAAACCAGTTGAACAGGAGCCCTTGGTCTTAAGCCGGCTTAGTGCTGCTATTGAGCGAGCGCTAAGCCCCGGAGCAGGAGAGGAGGCCTGGGAAGAGAGAGACAGAAGAGGGAGGGATGGAAGGGAGGAAGGRAGGAAGGAAGGAAAGGGGGATGCCCGAGTTTGTTTGCCTCCCTCCCTSCCTGCCTGCCTGCCTCCCACTCCGCCCTGGATTAAAGGCCTCGGGATTTGAATCTGATGAAGGAAGGGGTGCACAGAGCCTTCGGGGAGAGGTGAGTTTCGGGAGCAGAAAGGAAGGAAGGAGGAGAAGGGAAAGAGGCGGGGAAACATTATGGGGGGGGGGGTCGAGAGGGGCTCAAGGTCTTGTTTGGAGGGGAGAATCTTCTCTGAGGTCTTCTCCTTCTGGATCCCTTTGTCCAGCCGGCCTTGCACCCCCACTGGACACTGATAAATCACCCCCCCCCCAAATTTTACGGCATTTCCTGGTAGAATTGGATTAACCTCCCCCCCCTCGCTCCCGTTTAAAAATGGCCCAGTCCCCCTCCCTTGGGCTTCTCCCTAGAATTTTCCCATCCGCGCTCCCCCCTTTTCTGTGCCATTAGTTGGTTCGCGCCGCTCGCTGCCCGTTGGCAGAGGGAGGACGAGTCCATCGCTGGAGTCGGGATGGGGGAGTTCTCCCATCTGGTCGCTTATGGAGAAAGGGGCGTTGTTGGGGCGTCCCTCCGCCTGGCTGCGGGGAGGGGACTCTGAAGCCTTCTCCTCCCCAACGTACTTAACTCCTAAACCGATTAAGGACGCCGTTTAGCCCCGCTCCCAGACAATAACAGCTCTGTTTGCCTCCTGCTCCAGCTCTGAAGGGCGGGGGTCAGCCTGCTTTATTTAACCCCCAGACCCAAGGTTAAACCTGTCAGTCTCAGCAGGGAAGTGGGGTCCACCAACAAGAGGCCCTGCAGCAAAGTTGAGAAGTGGTTGTACCCATAGACAGACAGACAGACAGACAGCATGTGTCACACTGGTAAGGAAACAAGTCCAATTGGATTCAGGCTGTTGAATTAATGGCATGCGTCCACTTGTCCTAAGCTGGGTAGGAAACAAGTCCAGTTGGATCCACACTGTTGAATTAATGTAGACACTGCTTACATTGTCATGACTCAATGCTGTGGAATCATAGGGATTTGGGGCTTGATGAGGCTCCAAGACTCCTTAAAGGCCTTGTAAAACTACAATTCCTATGATCACTGAGCCATAGGCTCAAACTGCATTAAGTCTATAGCAGGCATGGCATGGGCCAAGTGTTTGTTTACATTACAAATAAGATATGTACAGTGTGCATAGGAATTCATTCATGCTTTTTTCAAATTACAATCTGGCCCTCCAACAGTTTGAGGAACTGCGATCTGGCCCTCTGTTTAGAAAGTTTGGTATAGATGTTCCCCTTGAGGCCATGTGTTGCTTCCAGGGAGTAATATAAATTGGGATCTTGTTGGGGATTTACACCCACAGGGATTCTGACCAGGGCTGTGCCCGAATTCATATTGATGTACATCTCAATCCATTCATTGTGTATTACGCCAATAAACATAATGTTGTTTTATGTATCCTTGCAATTCATTATCAGGATCTCTTAGTGCCTCTGATACATAGCTTCATCTGCATAATACTGTGATACAGAATCTGGCCAATAAGTCTTTGAAAAAGAAACTAAACTGATACTTGTTTCCAACCGCCATGAGCAAAATAGTTCAGTCGTTTCCAACTCTTCGTGACCTCATGGACCAGCCCACGCCAGAGCTCCCGGTCAGCTGTCACCACCTCCAAGGTCAATCCAGTCACTTCAAGGATTCCACCCATCCATCTTGCCCTTGGTCGGCCCCTCTTCCTTTTTTCTTCCATTTTTCCCAGCATCATTGTCTTCTCTAAGCTTTCCTTTCTTTTCATGATGTGGCCACATCATGAGAAGTGGACTCAGATAACCTAGTTCAAAGCAGATATTGTGGGATTTTCTGCCTTGATGTTCTGTTGTTTATTCGTTCAGGAACTTCCAACTCTTGGTGACTTCATGGACCAGCCCACGGTAGAGCTCCCTGTCAGCCGTGGCCACCCCCAGCTCCTTCAAGGTCAAGCCAGTCACTTCAAGGATCCCATCCATCTTGCCCTTGGTCGGCCCCTCTTCCTTTTTCCTTCCATTTTCCCCAGCATCATTGTCTTCTCCAAGCTTTCCTGTCTTCTCATGATGTGGTCAAAATACTTCATCTTTGCCTTTCATATCCTTCCCTCCAGTGAGCAGTCAGGCTTTATTTCCTGGAGTATGGATTGCACCTAGACATACAAAGTCTGTCACTGCCTCCATGTTTTCTCTCTCTATTTGCCTTGATATTCTGGGTTATATGGCTGTGTGGAAGGGCCCTAGAGCTTCAGGCAGACCCGGGTCTTTCCCATTACCTCTGTTATGGAATTTTCCAATTGAAATGTTAGAATAAAACCCGGATCTTCTGCATTCCCCAAAAGTATGCAAACATGCATTCAAGTAATCCTAGCTCAGGGCCTTCTTGTCTGGGATTAGGAGTTTTCAATTTATAGGATATGGTCTCCAGAAAGGTTTTTTTCCCCCTCTTTCCTTGGTATCTCTTTTTTAAATATATTACCTACTGAATAGTCCCACAAACTAAAGGCATTTCCACATCCATATAACCCAGAATATCAAGGAAATTCCACATCTTCTTTGAACTGGGTTATTTGAGTCCACGCTACCATATATTCCACTTCAAAGCAGAAAATGTGGGCTTTTATTCAGCTGTGTGGAAGGGGCCTAAATCACTGTATCCAGGAACATACCACCTGCTCCCTTAACGGAGCTGAACTGCTTTGATTTCCTTTGAGCTGTAGAGGTTTGTGCCCATCAACAGGCTATAGGCTTTTCCTGATTTAAATCCATTGTGGAGCATAATCGTAGCATTATCTGTTTCTATACAAGAGTGTGCCTGGAAATAATCCACCATCTGTGGCTGCCTCACAATATTGTGCTGCTCACAGAAGAAGGATGGATACTGATGCAATCACCCAGCTAAGATCATCTTTACACTCCAATTTCCAATTTCTATAATATAATCGATAAACGTTCCCCATTCTAGGCACAAAAATGAAAGTTTTGAACAGTCAAAATTAGCAATACTGTTTCAGGCATAAAGGAATACTAATTCTATCTTTTTTTTGTCTGTAACATTATAATATAATGGTGACAGTATGTTTACATTGCTCTTATAATCCACACAGTGGCTTTAATATTTGTCCCTTGCTGTAGATGTCACCCTTTTGCTGCTACACCATGCATTTTAACTTAGTTCTCTCATGGGTTGGGCATTTATAAGTGTGTTGGGCTGCACAATATGTATTTGTGGCCAATGTGGCCAAGATACTGCCATGTATTTTGTATCTCACCTGTCTTTCTCAGTCTGCCAAGAGGAGACACAAAGTTCATTTGGTGGTCAGTCATTCTTTTTCAGGCTAATTTACTTCACAGAGCTGTTTTGAGAGGGTTTTGTGTGTGTCAGGAGTGACTTGAGTAACTGCAAGTCACTTCTGGTGTGAGAGAATTGCCTGTCTGCAAGGTCATTGCCCAGGGGATGCCCAGATGTTTGGTGTTTTACCATCCTATGGGAGGCTTCTCTCATGTGCCTGCATGATAAGCTGGAGCTGACAGACAGGAGCTCACCCCGCTCCCCGGATTCAAACAGCCGACCTTTTGGTCACCAATCTTGCCGGCACAACAGTTTAACCCATTGTGCCACCATTTTGAGAGTGAAAAATTGGTAAATTTGAGAGTGAAATAATGAGTAAACATACCTTATCTATCCCAAGCACTTTGGGAGGAAAGTCAGAAAATGTTTATGTATGATACTTTGTTTCTTGTACTCCTTTGATTCTTTTATTGTGTTTGTTTTTCTTCTCAGGAATAAACTGCAGGTAAATGAAGAGGAACGCATGCCCAAACAGTGACTCCAACCCACATACCCTGTGAGCTGTCAGAAGCATGTATCAAGCAGGAATTCTTGATATCCCACAGAGGAAAAAAAAAGCAAGGGAGGCTTCTAAGTGATAAAATAATAAAAGGGACAAAGAAGTCTGATTGTGAATGAAGATAAATCTGTCACCAGAGTGATAAAATATTTGAAACCGGTGGCAACCCTGGGTCTCCAAGTTCACGGAAGGTTTGACAAGAGGCTTACTCCAGTCGTGAAAATGGAGAAGCAGTCCTGGGAAGGTCCCACCGAGGGACTGGAAAGTACAGGAAGAGACGTCTTTTCCATCCAGTCTGGGATCATGCGAGATCTACCCCGTTGGACCATCATGAGGCAGGAGGGCATCCCTCACCACCTGGAATCTCAGTGGCAGGATTTCTTGAAGACCATGCAGTCCTCTCCAGTGAGATGGGGAAGGCCACCCTTGCCAGAACTGGCCTCCTGGGATGACCTGGTCGCCTTTGAGAGGGTGTTTGGGGCCTGCCAGTGGCCTCAGGGAGACATGGTGGCTCAGCTAACGCCCGCTTTCTACCCAGAAGCCCAGGAGGCCGCTAGCCGCCGGAACTCCAGAGACAAAATGGATTTTGGGAAGGTTAAAGCTGCCTTCCTACATGGAAATTCTGTTAGCACAGAGATTCACCGCCAACGCTTCAGGCAGTTTTGCTACCAGGAGGCCGAGGGCCCTCGCGAAGTCTGCAGCCGCCTGCGGGAACTCTGCCATTGCTGGCTGGAGCCAGAGAGCCGTACAAAGGAGCAGATCCTAGAGCTGCTGATCCTAGAGCAGTTCCTGACCATCCTGCCAGAGGAGATCCAGAGGCGGGTCAGGGAACGAAGCCCAGAGACCTGTGCCCAAGCAGTGGCCCTGGCAGAAGGGTTCATCCTGAGGCAGCAACAAGGCGAGCTGCGGGAAGAAGAGGTGAATAATTCTTAGGAGGAGCAGAGTGGCAAAAACAGCTGGAGAGCATAGATTATTCAAGCATGGGTAAACTTCAGTCCTCCGGGTATTTTGGACGTCAACTCCCACAATTCCTAACAGCGGCTGTTAGGAATTGTGAGAGTTTAAGTTCAAAATACCTGGCAGTACCTGGGCTATATCCTCTGTGTCTTTGGTGTGGTTGTCTTATCGCTTGAAGGTTTGCCAATTGAACACTGGACAATACTCCCGCGTCTTTTGTAGTTGTGTAGAGGAGGGTATTTCAGTAAGTTCCTTTCATGTCAAGAGGTAACAAACAATCCTGTCTGAAATTCCCTTTTCTACACAACCATTAAAGATACTGGAGCCACCTCCAGTTTCCACTCTGGCAACCCTTGCTCTGTCTTTCTGCATGAAATGGAATGCCATTGCTATAAGGTGTCATATACCCTTTCAAGAGCAGGGAGCAAGGAACCTGCTACATATACATTACCATGGTACACAGTATGACACTGACCAGGCGTATTAAACTCCTTCAGTTTCCTACTGAAAAAGGAGAAGGAAAAACGGCTTTTATCAATAATGATACAACAGTGCCCTTCCCTGGTTGGTTTTCCTGCTTTGTAACTTTGGTTTTTCAAGGCAACTGTGTGAAGAAGGTGATTGTGAAAACAGCTGGAACAAAGGATTAGAAGAGAAATAGAAAAAAGACAAGTAAATGTATTTGCTATGTAAGTAGTCATTCAAAGCCTTTGGCAAGCAAATAAATGTCTTATTAACTATGTTAGTAACCTTTGAGTAGGTATTACTGACAGCTTCAAGGAAGGAAATGTATTCTATTTATCTCATCTTGGCTGGAAACGGGCCATGTCGTATCAGGAACAGCACCCTCAGAAAGGTATTCTGCTAAGGGGACATTTATTTATTTTATTTATTTACTACACCTATATCCCGCCCTTTTCAGCCCGAAGGCTACTCAGGGCGGCATACAAGCAGGCAACAATTAGATGCCAAACACATATAGATACATCTTTTTTGTGTGAAGTGCATTGTACCTACAACACATGACGCCCAGGTCTCCTAAGAAACCACTGTTTCTGGTAGTCAAATCAGTATTCATAGGGGCAATGATATGCAGTATTTTTTTTCCAATGCTGTACTCTCTTAAAACCCGAAGAAATCACTTTTTGGTATTTCAAATATCATTTGCTTGGATCTATGAGTAGAAAGTTGCAATTGGGTTTCTATTTCAACTCTGTGTAACAAAAAACTACTGGACTAGATGAACTGTCCTTGAATTGTAGTGGCATGTTAGGGATCAAGATGCCTCTGATATAAGGAATATACAGTAATTTGCAGATGTAACAGTTGTACAACATACCAAAAATATCCATGTGTTTGCAAAGTTGGGACTCTGGTTTCCAAAATGCTTAGAATGTCCAAATGTGTCACTCTCAGTTAAACCGTAATATATATCTGATCCAGGAACTGTTTAGTGGGAAGAGTCAGAAGACAAATGGAAGTACTTTTTCACGTAGTGCATAATTTAGCCGTATAACCCCTTGTCAAAAAAAATGCAGGGAAGATTGCCATCTTCAATGACTTTAGAAGGCACATTCTTGGACAACAAGGTTATCAGCGGCGGCAAGTTGTGATGGTTAAGTGTTTCCACCAGTCCCAGATGCAGCATGCCTACAATATCAGTTGCTGCAGACTATGAGAAGGAGGTTGCTATTATGTTTTTGTTCTGGTTATGGGTTACAACATTGAACAAATAAAGTGCTAGACTAGATGGGAATTTGGTCTGATCCAACACATGCACCCTTGTGTTCCAATGGTATGCTAGGAATCAAGAGGACTTTGATGTAGGAAAATGTACCCTTTCCCACTAAGACTGTTTGTGAACTGAACTTCCGTTGTTGTTCCAGGGTCCTGAGCCATTCCAAGAAGCGGTTGTGGATTTTTCAGGAGCACAAAGAGTTCCTCCGAATGCCAGGCAGAGGCAGCTTGCCAAGGAGGCGAGAAGGGAGGATGATGCTTTGGGTAAGGATATATTTGGCCTCAACTACTTCCCTTTAGTTCTAAGGAACAGTTGTAATCCTATCATATCCTTCTGCATTGTTTCTGTGCTTTTGTGTGTCGTTGTGGGCTCCACTTTGTACTAGTTTAACTTTTGCCTAGTTAGATGGTTCCAGGAAGTGATGTCAAGAGACTCCTGCTATTCGCTACCAGAATTATCCATTGGAATTTCCCCAGAATTCTGTATTTTATATTTATCTGCATAAACACACTGTATAAAAAGTTGATCTTAATTTAAATGCTCCCTGTGTACAGCTGGCATTGAAAATTCATTGGAAACTTTCACTTATAACATGGCAGCTCATTTTTGGCTTGTGAAGTCACAGGCTTCCTATAATATTTACTTACTTACTTACTTACTTACTTACAGTATTTATATCCTGCCTTTCTCAGCCTGAAGGCGACTCAAGGTGGCTTATAGTTGGCAGCAATTGGATGCCCCAGCTGACATAAAATACAGTTTAAAAACATTTAGCATATAATATAAAACCATACAAAAACCACTAAAAACATGAGAGTTGTATTGAGCTTGACTGGTTTACAACCTAATTTCAGCAAAAAGTCAAACTCATCTGTGCTTTTTGAGAGCAGAAGTGGATTTTGATCTTGTCCTTCTACAATCTAAATGTCAAATTTTTATACTACTTTATTTGTAAATATATCATTTTATCACAATTGGCGTATGGCCGTTTGATTACGGAAAGGCTCTTTAAAGGCCTTGGACCCAGAAAGAACTTCTAAATCCAATTATAAACAAAACCATTCACGAGAGCTATGCAAAGCATTTTTATGGGCAAACTCACAAAGTTCTTTAAATGAATGGAGATGTTTGTTTGCATATCTTCGGTAAATCTTACTGCAGAATTCTAGATAAATGGCCATGATCATGGGTTGCTTCACAGATCTCTACCTTAATGGCTGTATGAAAATGTAAGTATTTGTATATAATTGATGCTTGGAAGTGTTGTGACCTTCTAGATATTTTTGGACTAAAACTAAGCATTCCTCTTAATTAGCAACAGTGGCTAAGGCTGATTGGGAACTGCTGTCCAACAATATATGGAGAACTGCACATTTACCATCCCTGTTATAAATGTCTCAAAGTAGTGCAATCTTCCCTAACCTGCCATCCTCCAGAAGTTTGGACAGTTATTTCATGTTGCTGGGGAATTATGGGAGTTCTCCTGTATCACATCTATAGGTTGCCAAGTAAGGTCAGTCTGGACAATAGATATGGGGCAGTTTCCGTTTATCTGTCCCTGGGATAAAGTTGTGATCTGCTTCTTTGCCCTGAAGGTCCCAATCCTACAAGCAAATCTGAGGAACAGCATGACTCTAAGGAGTCCAGGGAAGCAGAGGAAGATGAGGAGGCTCTTCCATCATCCGAGGGAATCCAAAGAAAAGAGAAATGCCACCTCTGCATTGAATGTGGCAAAAGCTTCACTCGTCCCTCAGACTTAGCTAAACACCTGAATGTTCATACTGGAGAAAAACCATACCTATGTGTTGAGTGTGGGAAAAGCTTTAGCCAGCTGTCTCATCTTACAAGACATCAGAAAATCCACTCAGGAGAGAAACCACACATTTGCTCTGAGTGTGGAGACACCTTCAGCCAGCGGGCTTACCTGGTCAGCCATCAAAGAAGCCATTCGGGAGAACAGCCATACCGCTGCTCATACTGCCAGAAATGCTTCAGCCATCAGTCAGCCCTTAAGATCCACGAGCGAAATCACATGGGCCAGAAACCCTATGCCTGTACTGACTGTGGGAAACGGTTTGTTTCCTCTTCCTCCCTCTCAACCCACAGGAGGATCCATACAGGGGAAAAGCCCCATGCCTGTGGGGTGTGTGGGAAAAGATTCATCCAGCATTCAAACCTAGTCTCACACCAACGAACCCACTCAGGGGAGAAGCCGTACTCCTGCAAAGTGTGTGACAGGAGGTTCGCTTACCCTTCTGATCTTACTAGGCATCAAAAAATCCACACGGGAGAGAAGCCTTACCCCTGTGATGAATGTGAGAGGAGATTCACCCGGCTCTCTGATCTTATTACGCACCAGCGCATTCACACAGGAGAGAAGCCCTACCGCTGCCTTGAGTGTGGGAGAAGGTTCAGGCAGAGGGGAGTGCTGGTGAAGCACCAGAAGTGTCACTCAAAAGAGAATCCAAAAGAGAGTGAGTTGGTATTGCAAGCCAACCAGGAACTCAGCATTCAGGACATAAAGGAAGAGCAGGAGAACCTGGCAGAGTCCCTCTTGATTTCCTCATCCAGTCCCTGATGCCCATCAACCCTACATAGCTGCACAAGAAGGAGCAACAGTCTTGAGCACAACCCTGGAAAGTCTCCATTGTGCTTTCTTCTGGTGCTTAGGTTTGGTCATGAGAACAGCTGACTATTGCTGTCCTCCACTTGGCTGTGGTTACAAGTGTGGGAGGGAAGAAGCATTTTGGAGAGGAGCTGTAAGTTCAGTAGGGAAATTTTGTTATTTTCCTCCTCCACATTTCCTTGGTCACTGTGACCTTTGGAAGAAGCTGGAATCATGCGATCTGATTGGGATGCAGCAATAGGGATGGGAGGGGATACCCTCTTCCTAGGAATGAGTCTGTATTTTGTTGGCCAGATTAAATAGGTACAAGGACTCTCTGCAAAACAAATAGCTCTCTGCTACGTTGGGAAATAACTGCTGAAGGCATTCATCTGCTATCTATCAACCCAAGGAATGGCTGTGACAATGACCTCTTCACACATTGTTAGCTGGGGACAGAGTGAATCAAGTTCTTCCCTGCTAGGCAACAGTCAGCAGAGGATGAAGGAATGTAGTCAGATCACACATAAACCAACAATGCTTTATCATACATAGGCCCTAATGCAGAAATACCGGTGTTAGTAATATTCCATGCATCATTCCATATTAAGCATTGGTGGTGACTCCCATCTTCCATTCTTTTTTGTGTCAAACCCATGGGCTGTCAATCCAGACAGGATGATGCCTAGTCAGCTGCCATCATCACCTTTTCATACCTGTCCTCCTCCCTCACTGCCAACTCCCACATCAACTTGAACTAGAATCATAGAGTTGGAAGAGACCTCATGGGCCATCCAGTCCAACCCCCTGCCAAGAAGCCAACTAGGGCTGATTAATAATGTAACAACTTGACTTATACTTACTCGGCCCAATGGCAGCAATTAGTGTGACTAATTCTGGCACTCCAGAATCTCAGAGAGGATTTTGTTCAGCCTTGATGTGCGAGACAGAAAAGGACAGGGATCAGATCTGAAACTTTATGCAGGCAGGGGCTTCTACCACTGAATTATGGCCTGTTGATTTTGACAGCTAGAGCTCAAACCTGAAAGTTATTTTCATACATGGTGGTAAAGAGAGGCAGCCCTAATTTTGATGCTGTTACTTAGAAGAATGGCCAGTCTAAGCTAGGCAGCAGGGAAAGAAATCCCCCCCAGGCCTTAGTATTAATGAACACTGAATAGAGTTGTACATTGAGGTGGAGAATGTGAGTAGGAAGAGCAGGAACTAAACTTGGCTTGCACAAATTTGTGCTTGGCGCCTGTTCATTACTGCTTGTTTCTGTCAGGACTCCTGCAGTGTTAAATACAGAAATTCAATTATGGAAAAAGCTGAATTGCTTCTGTTCAAGACCATGGAGCCATGCCAGGAAATAAAAGTGGCAGCCTAGTGGATGCAGTGGCTGATCTCTTCCCGATTTTGACCCAGTGCTATCACGTCAAGTGAAACATTTTGATGTAAAATGTGAACTGTTGCTAAAGTTAGATCAAAGTGGAGGGAAGGGAATAGTTGCTTTTGAAGGTGGGGTAAGAATTAGGTTAGAGTGATACTTGTTTGAAAGCAGAAAACATATTTTGTAGGACGAGAGCATCCAAAACATTAACATGGAATTGACAAACAGGTGATCTGTGATTTCACAGAAGCATAGATGCTTCTCCTAGTTATCATACTAATCTTGCAAAGTTTGTGGGTAATCCCTGTTAGGGAAGCAAAGTTATGTTTGGGATCGAAAGAGGGCGAGGGAGGTGCAGACTCAAATGTCCAGTCACCAGATGACAGGGATTTTGTGTCCTAGTATAGGTAGTATCTCGCCTCTTTTCATGATACCAGTGAAATGACTGAAATGTCCATTTAATTGCATATAACTTCTTGGCATCAAAATTGGGATATTTACTAAGCAGAATTTCTATACTGTACTATTAGATCACTTCAGGCAGGGGGCTGACATATTATCAACTTCAGATTGTTTTAGTAAATACAATCATGCTCCTGGAAGGTAACCACTTTGGCCCATACTTTTGTGAACAGTACAAGTTTGCAAGCATGAGACAACTGTCAACATATCTCACCTTACACATTTCCGCATCTCTTCTGACATCTTGGAAATTAGGTGCTTTTTGGTTCAGACATCAAGAGAAAGGCTGTTTAGCTCCAGTAGTTTCTGTTACAGTTGTGTTAAGTTGTAGGACATAGATAATTAGGGCTAAGCCCCCCCCTGCTAGTCCTGCCTACAACAGACTCATTGAATCAATAGGATTTACCAACAGTGGCTCACATTCAACAACTGATCGAATGGGTCTGCTCAGTTTGGAGTTTCTTTCTTGTTAAATACTCATTTCCATCCCACCCAATGTGTTTTTACAGTTTCTTTGCTGAGTATTATCCAGTATCATGTCAACTTAAAACTGAGGTTACTGCATCGTTATTTGGAGTCTCACAAACCGGTGATGTCATAAACAAGAATTCTGTCACTTATTTTCTTATCCAGCTGAAAACAAAATTGACTTACAATTTTCACAGTAAAGCATGAAAGCAGAAGGTCAGTGTTGGTTCTTGCTCAAGTAACAAAAGATAATTGGGGGTAGGCAAAACAATATTAAAACAGAGGGAATATTTGGGGGAGGCAGTACTTAGTTACAACCAAATCTCAGTGTTAATACTGTAGTATGATTTACATAGTTCCTTAATGCTTTCCATAATTAAAATATAGTTTGTATTCAAGAATGCTGTTGATTGTCTCGACTTAACCCTGTCAAATTACAGGTTCACCAGAGGGTGGACAGCCATGGAAATACGACCCAACTACAAAAGACGTAATGACTAGAAGGCTGTTCAAACAATTTAACAACTCATATTAAAATGTCTATGTGTAGGTTTGGGACTTAACCTAAATAAAATTCCTTTGAGATTTAGAAAGAGCTGAAGGAATAATGCTGCTTTAAATTTACTGCTATTCTTTTGTGTGCACATAGTTAATTTCCTTTCACAACCTTTTCAACAGACAACTTTTTTGTATTCACTTATTTTTCTTGATTTAGGAAATAGCTATCTGAAGCAGGAAAAACCAAGTGGCATTCTTTTGCTTATAATCAATACCTTTATTGCCCTCCTAAACATACAAAACAGGCAGTACGGCAAGAGAAAACTAGGATAGGAAGCTCCAGTGTCCTAAGATGAGGATGGATTACTCTCTACCTCCCTACAACTGGCATTTCTCACCTGGTAAAATTGACTAAGCAATGAGATATAGGATGTGGAGGGCCTAATATTGGCGATATTGCAATACCCCACAGATGTGATTGCTAATACTACACAGAGTTTTCAGCATTCATTTAGGAAAGTAGAGAGAGTTTCAGGGACATCTTAGTAGGCAGTTAGCCCTTACCTGATCTATTGCATATATCCAAAATGATGTTTTCACAAGCAGAAAGGTGGTGGTGCTCCCCACCATGGACAAATATGAAGTTTTCAGGACTTGCTCTAATCCCAGCTCAACAGACAGGTAAGAGGATCCTGTGGGAAGTGAGCACTATGCTCCAAGGTCCTACTTGGCTAGTTGTAGTCTGTAGTAGTTTCATAACAGCCATGGAACAGCTGCCCACACTTCCCTCTGCATATGATCAGAGCAAGACTTGTCTTTGAAGCAGAGCCTGTCTTCCCTAAAGGGCTTCACTGTTAATTTCATTACTGACAGCAGAACCAATGTGCACAGTGCTTTCACATGTGTGTGCCCATCTGCTCAACTCTTGTGGCATGAATAAAGGCGCTTCAGTGAAGGCATCTTCATGGCTCTATCAGGGTGATAATCTAAAAACAGGCATATACTGGAAGACCAATAAATAATAATAATAGCAAATAATAATAATAATAGCGAAGTATTGCTAGAGACCAAACTGTTAAATTACTCATGTTTATTTATAACAGACCTTCAGCCAGTACAGTACAAAACTTAACAGTAGTATAATCTCCATTACACAAATATGTACTTACAATATATTACAGATACAAAAAGCTTTTGCAGTAAGAGGTTTTTCTTTTATTTAAAAGCAAGTATAACCCCACAAAAAAAGAGGGAGAAAAGAGCATGACACCAGCAAACCCAGTAACAATATACAAATGAAAGCTTGTTAGAAAGAAGAGAAAGAGTATAGCGGGCTGGGGATATTGCACATCTTTTTGTTCTTCATACATCTGGTTAAAAAATATATATATTTACACAAGTTAAAGAGACCTGGAGTTTTACAAAATTCCTACATTTGTTTTTTAGGCTTTTCGTACAGGTGAAAGCAAAAATAAAAGGAACACTGGTTTCTTAGAAATCTCAGAGCATAAGTTTCTCTAAAAACAAACCTGTTTTCATTTTCACAAAAGGGAAGAGGCAGGAGGTAAGAAGTGACGTCCACAACAGGATTCTTGCTTCCTGATTCATCACAGAAGCAGAGTTCAGAGCGATTCGTACCATTCCACAGTGCAGTAAATAGTGTTCAACAACGATGTCAGAGACACCTTCTTGTACTTCTAGAACTACTGAGTATTTCCAATAAAACACATAAATAAAGATTCCTGAAGAGAATGGGTCTGTTTCCACCAAAAACAGGAAGCAGGAAAACATCTGAATATGAGCTTTGGAGGCACAAAGGGACTTCTTTTTTAAAAAAAACAAAGAACAGTAAAAATGACACTTTAGGTGCTTAATTTATCAATGTGGCTGTCTATTGAAGCCAAGCACCCAAGAGCCATCTTTGGCTTTCAATAAGTTAGTATCCAACTATGAAAGCTAATTCTCCTATTAAGTGGTACATGTATGTGTGTCAGTTTCATAATTTTAACTCAAAAAATGGGGGGAAATTTAACAACAAAAACTTCACAACTATATTTCCTTCATTTTATTATACATCAGGGAATTTCTATATGCCATCACATCTTGACAAAGATACCAAGATGAAAACCACATCTGATCAACTGGTCTGTTTACATTTTACACAGATTTTATGTGATTACTAATCTCTGCATTGGACAAAAAAAACCCTCCAATGCATTTTTCATAATTTTGTCTGTTGAAGCTCAGAAAGAAAGAGTCAAACACACTCTGCTTTAGTTCCAAATTCTGCTTAAAATTAGCTACAAGAACACAGATTTAATGAGATCTGGGAGAAAATTGCATCTTTTTGATTCAAGACTAGACATTTTAGAGGAATTGGATGGCGGAATTCAGACATGCCCAATGTTTCATTTGCTTTGGTTTTACGGACAAAATAATGTTTTGCAATAAAATATATGAGTTTTATACAAATAAACCAGACCTTAAAAGGTACAGTGCAATCCTGCTTTTGAGTCAGAATCAGAGGAGGCCCAGAAACCTTCATTGTGTACCTTAAAGAACGTGCGGCCTATCAACTTCTACAAAGACATAAATTCCATCAACAAAACAGGTGAGTGACTACTGCATTCTCTACTTAGGCCTAGATCCACACTGAAGGGGAAAGCCCACATGGACACGGCTGAGCTTAAGGGTCACTACTCTCGTGAGTCTTACAAACACAGGCCTGCCTGGATTTGAGGATGTGCAAACAATTCTCAGAGACATAATTTCACTGCTGTATTAAATGCTCATGACAAACACTTCAAGTCTTTCTTCAAATGCACTTATACAGAAAGGCTACACTGCTAGAATGAATCAGGTAATTTTTCTAGGAAAACTCCTATAAAAAAGACCCAAGAAGAAACGAAAATCTTGTTCCATTAGATTGTCCCTGGGAAAAAAATGCTGACAGCCAATTCTGCATTAGATTTCTCTTCATACTTATAAAAGGGGCCAGAATAATCATTACATGAGCAGCAAACGTTTTATGCTGGAAATCAGTTATTAAATCACACAAACATCCATTAGGTTTCCGACATCTAGCTTTTACATCCAGGTCTTTTCTCAAGAGCTCACCTGTGGGTTGTGAAAGTAAATGATAAACAACTTCAAGGTACACATCCTCAGATTACTGAGGGCACAAACAGAACATCTTGAGCAACACCCTTTCTTTCATTCATTCATTCATTCATTCATTCATTCATTCATTCATTCATTCAACACAGTTATCGTATCAAACTATGGATGTTAGTCTGATGAAAACTTTTATGTCTGCAGCAGGAGAATTCTAACCTTTCGAGTAATGTGAAATTGAAACATTCAAGAATACGAGGTCTAAGGGCTGGTTCATAACAACTTTTTTCAGTCACAAGGCAGGGGCATATAGCTGCCACCTCAAAAATGACCATGGAGTAGTTTTATCTACATAACACACTGCAATGAGGATACAAATCTTGGGAATGATTGTGGGCAGAAATTATATCATGTGACTGGAATCCAAATTAAGAATCACACCAAAGTGCTGAATACTTTCAATGTACATCAATAGGAGACTTGAGTGCTTAAAAATGATAATAGGGTCAAGGGAATTCCAAGAGGTTAGAATGACGCATCCTCATATTGGTGGGGAATACAAAACTTGGACTCTTCAATGGGGCTGTAGCAATTTGGCAATGTCTCCCAATATATTTTCATTTCTATTGCACAATGCACATATATTTAAATGCATCAGAATGATAAGGAAATGTATAGACCATTCCCTCCCTGTCTGCTAAAGACACAATATGCATTTCTGGGACTGGCTCAAAATGCCTTCAGAGCCTATAGAATACCATTCATATGCTGAACCCAAGTGAGAGAACGAAAGAGGAGAAATGCCTCTGAACCAGAAATGTTAAGAGCTTTTATGAAATGGAAAAGGGAGGACAGTGGAGTACACCTGTTCAAAGGAAAGCTCCTACTTCGCATCCCATCTCACAATACATCCCAGGCCTTCCCAGTTAAAGCAAGTCTGTCTGGCCTTTCAAACAAACAAACAAAAATCCATCAAAACAAAACAAAAAATAGCCCAGAAACACCAGTTTCAAAAAGCAAAAGGCAGGGAGGATACAAACAAGACATTGCAACTTGAGGTTGTTGTTTTTGTTTTTTGAAATAGAAAAAGAACAGCCTTTGGTTTATCCCACAAGGAAGCAGTTAGTTGGGCTGCTGTTAGTCAAGTTATTTTTATGCATGTTGGGCATCTACTGAAAACCATGACCCCGCTCCCACTTGCCACATCCTTTGCCCAGCACAGACTAAAGAGGCAGTTTAACCCTTTCTTTCACAAAACGTCCTTCTAGCATGCTAAGGGCCAGGTGCTGGAAGAAGGTAAGCTCTTGTTTTGCCTGACTCCTAGCCTTCTACTTTGGCCATTGCACACTTAAGAACAAGAGTCAAACAGGATTTCTACGTGGATTGGTAGTAATGACTACATACTCCTAGCAAGTGAAATCACAACCTTTGTGTACCATCTGCTAACAGCAGAAATCGTCAGCCAAGCTACAAAATGGAGGTTTCAGCCCTTCACGATGACCAAGGCTTTAAGACACTAAAGTACAAACAGCAAGGACTTCCTGTAGGACCCGCAACACGAAAAACCAACTCTCCCCTCTGGTGCCATTAGCCATGTACCTAAGAGAAAACTGGGAGACTCTTTGCCACAGTGTAGATTTTGGGCAGGTGGGTGTTGCTGGCAGTTTTTCTACAGCGTCCTCCCTATACCATTACAACTGATCAGCCTAAAAGCAACTTGTGACTCTGATCTGGGACAGAGGTCTTTTTTGAGGAGAAACAAGGTGACACTGCAAAGCACATGCCCCTTTTCGCTTGTGGAGGAGCAGCGTGTGCTATTCCAACGAAATACAAGACACAGACCTTCCACTACATGGCAAGGGCTGCGCGCTCTTCTTGAGGAGTCCACAAAGTGCATGCTTTCTGAGCACAGATCTGTAAGGCTTAGGACTGGCCTGTGCAAACAAAGGCAGCCATGCCTTCTGGGGAAGCTTAAGTAACCAAAGCTCAAGTTGCTCAGTGGGGACAGATTCCCGGGAGACCGACTGGAGAGGCAGAAATTAGGCACTGGACAAGAAAGAGGAAGGGACAGGGACTGAGCTCCCTGGCCTCTAGTAGCTGCAAGAGAGGTTGCTTGGCTGACTCTGTATAGACTCACACGAGCATCTCTTTGGTCTCCTAGGAATCCTGTCCTAGCCAACAGGGCCACAGCTCTTTCCTCAAGGTTGTACACTCACCAAAGGGTTGAGGCTTCCACCTTCTAAAGCCTCCAAGCAAAACAGGTTCTTGAAGAGCTAACAAAAGGAAGCTCAGAGGAAGTTAGCTCAAAACAACCCTTCTGGAACAAGGGTTAGGCTAACTGACAGGGACAGCCCCAAGTTTAAAAGAGCTGGGAAGCAGAACACAGCCTTCATCACTGCGAAGGTTCTTTCATTGGAAACAGCCTTGGCTTTCCTCATGCGGATTCTCAGTTGAATCTGTAAAAGGCAGCATCCTGGCAAACTTCATGTACATTGCAAAAAGTGCTCGCCACCTTCCTTCAACCAAGTGGCACTGTAGCCCCTTCACCAGATGCAGCCTATGCCACCCCTATCTGGGCTCTAATAGGGGAAGCAGCATATTTAAATTCAAAGCTGTTGTAAGCAGAAGCACAGAGGTATTGAGTTTTTGGAACCACAGAGTTCCTAAGAGGACATCCTTCTCTGCTCCATCTCAAAGAAACCCATAAAGAGGGCATGTGCAGGTCATCCTAACATTACCATCTCAGCATAACTCAAGTCGTGGCTTTCCTAACCCCTTGAACGGGGAAGTTCTATAATAGTTTAGCACCTGATCTGAGGTTCTTAATATCTAACATGGTGACTTGACAGAAATACTTGAAATGAAACAACCCCTCCACCCCCCGCCCCCAAATTTTAAATGAAAATAAGGAAGAGACTTGGACCTTAAAAACACAAGTCTATTGCTGATGAATATCAGCATTTTGTGTGTTCCTCAATGGAGAAAGTCCCTAACAAAATGACTGAAAAGAAAAGCTTAACCAACAAAATAAAGAGAGAAATAAAGATTAATAAATAACGTCAACTAAGAGGAAAAAAACACAAAGGAATTTAAAATTCAACTAACATTATTTAAATAACACAATATAGAAAAAAGGCAAAATGTTATGAGCTCCTCCCCATCTCAAGTGTGTTGGATTTTTTAAAAGTTAGGGATTTTTTAAATATTTCTCTTTTTTGCCAAAGTCAGTGCAAAGGAGTACAAAAGAAATGAATAGTTCCATCATGTCCGACTCGGGTGGAGCATTAGAGACGGGGAGAGAAGGGGGGGAACAAGAGGGGAGAGTGCTGAGGACTAGCCTATTTTATGTTCCCCCCGCACTATGTGGGAGGAGAACTCGTACCGGTCTTGGCTGTGATAGCCACAGATGTTGCATTCAAAAGGGTCTCTGAAGCCGTGGCAGCCCATATGGATAGTGAACATGACATGGTCCAGGAACAAGATCCGGCAGTGCTCGCATTTGAAGGCTTTTACCTGTTCTCCTTCATCATTCACCACGCGCAGGGCTTCTTTGGCTGAGCTGGGAGTTGACCGAGTAGTGGTGGGGATGATGCCCTCTTGCAGTTTCGGGTCCTCTTTGGCGTACGCCGGACTCTGCCGGCTGCTGGTGCAGTTCCCAATGCTGGACAGCAGCGGCCCGTGGGAGCCCCTCTCCTCGTGGATGCTCTCCGTATCCGTGGAATCCTGGCAACCGTTGCTAGGCGATACCATACTGGGCTCCCGCGATGCCCGGTACACAATCTGCATCCCATCAGGAAGGTCTTCGTGGCCTTCAGCAGCTTCCCGGCTTCCTGCTATTTCCAGCCTGCCTGGGAGGGGCTGGATTTGAGTGTAGACAGAACTGATGACAGGCGTGATCTCAGAGATGCAGTTTGTGGGTGGAAGTCTGAGGGGGCGCAAGTGTTCTGCTCCCACAAAGGACAGTGAACTGCCAAAGCTGGCATCTAGGGGATGGTGAGCAGCCACCAACTCCACGTCCTTCTCAAAACCAGAGCTGACATCAAATGCCATATCGGAGAGGCCAAACCTCATCTGCTTCTCTCCTAAAGCAGAGAAGAATGGATATCAGAAGACAAATAATTCCTTTTAGTCTGAGAAATGAAACTATTATCAGTGCAAGACAAACATAGGAGTGAGGAGCAAAATACTTGGACCAGAACCCTACAAAGAAATCACTGGCTGCAGTAATCATTCGCTAAAGCATTCAGATTGGACTGGTACAAAGAATAGGCAGGATAAAAACCTACTTGAAACAACTCACGAGATACAAAATGTATTAAAATGCAAGATAGTAGCTTCACACGCAGAGTCATATTCCTTGAGTTCTTGTGCTATGACTTTTTGTAATTTTCTTGTATGTGCTACATTCTAGTATAGTTCTGGACTAGTTATAAAGCCAAACTGCTCTAGTGTAGCTACCACATACCTAAAAAACAGCAATAATTCTCCAGTTTGGAGATAGGTGCCTTCTTGCTGGATATGAGGGATACTCTTTCCAATTATTGTTTGGGGATCCAACATGGAGACAAGTCCTAAAGGCTACTGGGGTTAAGAAACCAGGATCTGATCGATTTGACAGAAATATGCACAAAAATCTATTACACAACAGCTGTCAACAGAAAATGTGCTAGGGATCCTGGCACTGTCTCCATCTAGTCCCCTTTCAGGAATCTAGGGGAAGCTCCTTACCCACAAATTTCTGAGGTGTGGAGCGTTTTCGTTTGGTGATGCTGTTTGCCAGTCGGTCAATGAAGGTTGGCCGGTCGGCTGAGGAGTGAAGCATGGAGTCCGGCACTATTTCCAAGTCTCGCATCTCGTCACCTGGCAGGGAAACCAAAGCGGGGCTTATGTTTGGCTGGCTAGAGTAATCCTGGCCCATTCTTTTTAAGCACGAGCCACTCTGAGAAAGTAGCAAATAATCCTGATGGCTAAGCGACTAGCTGGGGACAAAGATGTCATCCAGCAAGCCTGGAGAGGACAGGACTATTTAAACGAACTTTACTCCCATAAGTTTACACCCAGGACTATTGAGCCTTCACATATTCTAGCTGTTGAACCACAGATTCATCTATCTTAGAGTTTCTACTCCCCAGTGGTCACTTCTGAAATAAAAACTCTGAACTCTGCATCCAGGCAATAGCTCTACCTAAGATGGCATAGAATGAGAAGGTGCGAGAAACACATATGAATGTGTGAATTCCATGTCAGCTAGGAGAAGGAACTTGCAGCCAGCTTAGGCTACCCTAGAATGACCCCCCTGGATATTCGCAAAGCTCATTAAAAAACTTCCTAAGAACCTGTGACTATCTCTTCAGCCCTGCCCATCACAACTTGGCAGAAGTCTTACCTTGCTGGCCAGCCAGCGACTGTGGTTCAGTGTTAAGACTCTGCAGGTAGTTGTGACAGCGTTCCTTGTGCTCTTCCAACGTGCTTTGCTGCTTGTAGCTACGGCCACAATAGTTACATTTGTAGGGCTTGCCAACCGTGGGAGAGGAAACTAAAATGAATAAAAAGAGTTCATATTTCTTGACGTATCACACCAACTGGTAGGTCAGCCTGAATCAGGAAGCATTAACAGCTTGCCTGCAGCCACAGGAATGGAAAAAGACAGGCACCAATAGATATCTTCTTAGCACTCACTGCTTCTAAGTACACATATATCCACTCAATGTTGTGAACACCTCAGTCGCTTTTCTTCGCTCGTATTAACTCTACTAGCAAGTAGTGGAGCAAAGAAGGTCCTTTACTGCTTATCCCCGCTCTTCAGGGGAGTCAAGGCAGCAAAATTCCCAGCATACAATTGCTCTCTGGTTTTGATCATTCAAAGCATAGTCCATACAAAGGGTAAAGCACAAAACTGTAGGCTGTCCCCATCCATTTTTAAATCCGAACCTTTGTACTTAGTAGTTCCTGCAAATATCTATTCACCTTGCTACTGAAGACATTCCCATTATTCAAACTGGATTTGAACTATTCAAATAACTAAAGTTGATTTAGGCTGTTATAATGCTCAAAGAGCTGCTCAGCTTTTGAGGAAGCATGATAACCATATTCACTTGGAAAAAGAGGACTCTTCATACATCATGACTACTGAGAGCCGACAAAGCCATACTAATGGCTTTCATACTAATGTTCATACTGTGCGTACTACAGTCAAACCCTAAAGGAAACATTATTCTTTCAAATTAAGGAGAATGTCTAGCTGAAAGGATTTTCTGACCATCAATTCACAACCACAGTTGCCAAGATCAAATAAAGGTTACTTTTGTCAGCTTCTTAGTAAAAGATTTACCAAGATCTGAACAACTTAATTGTGTTCCTAGTCAGAGAACATTCAAGGTACTATGAAAGCCAAATGACAGAAATTCATATTATTATATTTAATTTGTTCTTTGTTTCAAGGTTTTTGTTTACAGAACACGATACAACACATATAACTAGATGAAGTGATCAGAAGATCTGGGCCATCAAGCAGCCTACTAAATTCTGACACAAGTTTGTTGAAACGAATGTTGTTTAGGAAGCAGAGAAGAATTTCTGGCCACACTTTGAACTAAGAATCAAACTAACGGTTGATTTCTAGAAGTGATATAGGTTTATGCCTCTAGCATTGGACATCAGCTCTTATCCTAGTGGCTGTGGTTACTCAGTGATGAAAAGGTACATGATTTACCACAACAAATGCATACCCCACTTTACTACACAGAATGTACTTAAGGAAGTTATTTTACTTCTGCTAGAACAAGTTCCAGTATGCTGGTCGGGGATGATAGGAGGTGCAGTCTAACATCCCTGAAGGTTTTCAGTTTTTGGAAGGCTGCTATAGCAAATTAACGCCTAGGACAGACCTGCTGGATTATTTGAGATTTAGACGAACTAATTATTATTTATTTACAACAATTACATAGTGCTTTTCTGTAAGAAATTTCCAAAACAGTTGTTTTAAATTCCTGCTGTTTTGTTATTATTGGTTTCCCATTGTACCAGGTGTTTCATGCACCATCAATGGTTTAGATTACAAACAAGAATCTAGGAATCAGTGAAATGTTGGGATTGTTTTTCTGGCACGTGAACATGGCCAGTTGTTCACTAGAGTGCAACCTATTGCCATGCTCCCCTGCTTTAGCCAGATACCTGCAAACATTTGTGGGAAAAGTAGATGCCGAATGCAAGTAATCACACCCCCCCCCCCCCCCCCCCCCGTAGCTATTTACACTGCAAGCCCAACTCAACTTCCCCGACATTGGTAAATGAAACCACCAGCAAGAAACACTTTTGTGTAGTTGAAATATGATTTGGCAGAATGGAACTGTGCCTTAACCTTTAGCTATTGCTTCTTGGAAAAGAGATGTTAGTGGATAGGCAATACCCATTTGTGAAAATGTACACTTCAACTTTAATCCTCTCACCTAGTGCTTTCTCAACCCTTGTTGGGAAGGTAATGTTCAAGCTCCGCGTACTGATCTCACATGTTCCTCAGGGAGATCATCCCTGGTCCTCCAGTTCTAAAACTGGGATGGTGGTTTGTCTCCTGGGAGTCTTGTGACATCAACTGCAATATAGTCAGGCTTCCACGTTCATGGGTTTAACTTTTGTGGATTTGACTTAAATGTTTTTAGGAATCACTGGCTCCTCCAGAATGATTCCACAGTCAACTTTAGCTTATAAAGTCCTCAACGGTTCTGGCCCAGCTTACCTGTCCAAACGTATCTCCCTCTATGAACTATCTGGGAGGTTATGATCATCCGGGGAGCCCTGCTCTTGGTCCCACCTTCCTCACAGGCATGGCTGGTGGTGACGAGAGACAGGTGGCCCCTCATCTGTGGAACTCCCTCCTTAACAAAATTAGATCAGTCCCCCCCCCCACCCCCTTTGGTCTCCAGAAAGAAAGTAAAGTCGTGGATGTAGGACCAAGCCTTTGGGCAGTAAGCAATCCAAGAAACGATCAGGATTATGTGCAACTGACCCTTGGAAAGGCCTCCCTTGGAAAGGACTTCAGTTTCTGGATTATGTGATTTTAATGTTTATATTAATATTTTTTAATTCCATATTTTAAATGTCTAGATGTTGCTTGTTTTTATTTAATATATTTAATACTTTAATTAATAGTTATATGTTACTGTTGTTTTTATGCTTGGTTTGTTAGGTATTAAATTAGTTGGATATGAATTCTTCCTCGGGGGAGAAAATCGGTATATAAATTAAGTAAAATAAATAAATAAACTTCCAGCAGAATTTAGTCATAGAATTATGGTGGAGGGTCTCAAGATTGTGAGAGAGGTGTTCCCTCACATTAAAAAATCAGCATTATTTTATTTGAAGTTTTTAGTTTTCATAAGGGTTCTGGAGCTTTAACCTCAGGAAATGTGGAGGGCTAAGACGAATAATCATTCAGGGAAGCTGAGGGAGCAGCAGAAAATCCAGCACAGTGGCAGACATGATAGTTTTTAGACTCATTAACCACAAAAGCCCAGGCGCTACTAGCTCTTGAGTCTGTTAGTAAATCAAATGGTTCAAGGAAAGTTGGGAGAGGGAAGAGATGTAAGCCACCACAGAGGTATGCTGCCACTTCTGCAGACAGAGGATTGGGCTTGAAGCATTCAAGAGTAGAATAAAATTGGCAAGTCTATAAGGATAAACATGAGAAGTCTAGGCAGCCTTAGTAACCCCACAAGAAACAGAAGAGGTAATTCAAAACGACATACAGGATGCGGATGGTGAAAATATTGAAAGTCATGAGGGAAATCCATATAACGGACACACTTTCCATTGCTTGAAGGGGGAGTGATATATTTCAACACTGTGCTCGCCACACATCTATTTAATCTGGAGGAAAATATAACACTTGTATCTTGAAAAAATGTTATTGAAAAAATAAAATCCTCATGGAAGTGCAATATAATCACATGTGTAACCTACCACATATGTGAAATGGAAATGAACAGGACTAAGGCCATTAAATCTATTCGTACTCTTCACTTTAGTATGCAAAAACCAGGAAAAGTTACTTTTTTGGACTGTAACTCTCAAAGTAACCCAGCCACCGGTTATACCAGCTGTGGAATTCTGGGAGAGGGATAATCCCCAAAGTGACTTTTCTAAACTTTGCAAGTATTCAAACAGTACCTTATTCCCTGTTTGTTCTTATGAACAAGAAAGTATGTAAGTTTGAAAATATTCCCCTCGCCCATAACAAAATGTTCTGTCTAAGGAGTTGCCGACACCTACAAAGGCCTTTGGAAAATAGTACTACATTCCTATTGGAGCAACTGGGGAAAGTAGGCTTTTTTTCAGTTTCCCTTGGGAAAAGCTATGACAAGGGGCTCTTAAGTGCTCAAAATCAGACGGTGTTCCCCAAATCACCAGCTGCCTAGATCCCAGCAACCTCAGTACAGGACTCCATTATGCCTAGTTGTTCTCAGCTGGATACTTGACTCCTCTAAACCCATTGTCTGAATGAATTCTATGCTGCTTTATAAAACAGCACACCCATTAATGTTTATTCCTACAGGCAGACAAATGTCCTTAAAAGCAGGCCTGAGCTCTAATTTGGTTTTTTTTTTTTTGGCCCCATGTCTGTAGATATACCACAAGGAAGCCCTTGACTATTGATACATGCTTTGAAAAATGATTCTGCTTTTCCAAGGAACACAAGATTTCACCCACTGCTACTTCTTTTAGTCTTTTATGCTTCTGAGCTATTGGTACAGACAACGCCCAACAATGAAAGAAGCAGTCCTTTTCATCTTTATTCTACGTAAGTTGAAAAAGAAGGAAACTGTACAGGACTTTATGCAACAAACTGGCTGGTGACATACACATATAATACAGACTCAATAGCAAAATGATTCTTGGTAGAAAGCTGAGGAGAGATCAGGACTACAAAAGCCACTTCTGGAAAGAAGTAAGGGAAGGTCTACCAAACAGATAGGACAGACATCTGCTCTCTCATTGGGCCCATGTCCTGTCAAATAGAGCTGTGATAATCCATCACCGAAAGGAAGCTAAATGTTTAAAAAGTATTTTTTTTAAAAGATGCAATACTCTTTTCATTCCAATCCCAGTTTGACCTCAATATAATTCAAAGCTGTGCTGCTATCAACTGGTCATCCTTGCCACAGAGTATTCTGCCATCCTATGGTTTGCATGGCGAGCTGCAACTTTCCTCAAGAAAGGGACCTGTTCCTGGGTTGTTTTTCTGAGACATCTGGGTATGCTGGGAGTCCAATATAATTCCAGGAATGTATCTTCCAAACTTGGACTTGAGAGAGAGGTAGGGAATTGTCCCTGACCTTGTGTTCTGTTGCAGACATCAATGTAAAATTCTTGCTCATTACTATAATACATGACTGACCCTCTGAGAAACAGTAGAAATTAGCTGAATTCTCATCTGTATTTGTTTCATTCCAAATCGGACAACAGATCCAGACCAGTATATTTGGCTCTGCTGGTAGTGGCTTTCTAGTAGGGTGTCTTCCACCCCTCCTATCCAAGACC